ACTTTTGTGTGTGTTCGCAAACGTTTGCAGCATTAATATACGAATAATAGGCAGAGAAAGCTGCAAGAGAAGAAGTCACATCAGGTTACCCTCACCATATGTTCACAGACCATCAGCAGGCAGGAGATGAATCTCTGTTGTACAGACTAGGGTTGAGATTTGGCTTGCTGACAATCATCCCAGTTCCTCTGGGAAACTCTTTGGGAAATGAGTGGTAAATGCTATTGGGCAGCTGAGCTACCAGAGACTTTAAAATTAGGTTGTTGAGCAGTTTTGCCGGAAGATCAGTCTGGATCTCTTGAATCTCCAACAGGATTCGTGTCTGGGTCACAAAATGGTCCGTCTCATTAAGCAGATTTAAGTGAGGTCATTGAGGGAAGGACGTGGTGGCGCTCCGAGTTAAACCGCAAAAGCCTCTGTGCTGCAGGGTTTAACTCTTCTGCTGCAGGGTCAGAAGGCCAGCAGTCGTAAGATCGAATCCACACAACAGAAGGAGCTCCCGTCGCTTGTCCCAGCTCCTGCCAACCTAGCAGTTTGAAAGCATGCAAATGCGAGTAGATAAATAGGTATCACCATGGTGGGAAGGTCACAGCGTTTCGTGTCTAGTCGTGCTGGCCACGTGACCACGGAATATTGTCTTCAGACAAACGATGGCTCTATCGCTTGGAAACGGAGATGAGCACCGCCCCCTAGAGTCGGACACGACTGGACAAATTGTCAAGGGGAACCTTTACCATTACCTTTACTATTAAAGCAGACACTGGACAAATTGTCAAGGGGAACCTTTACCTTTACCTTTACTATTAAAGCAGACGTGTGTAATTCACAATCCATGTGTAATATGTTTTTTTAAAAAACCAAAGCCACCCATTTAAGCATTCAAGTTGATATAGGTTACTTTAAAAAAAAGTCTTGTGTAGTCCTTATACACTGCCCAAAGGAAAGGGTTCCACGATTGCTTTATCAGACCACTAAAATATCGCAATGATGAGCTAGCTTTTGAATCCAAATGAGGATGATGATATGTAGACATAGGAACAGCTAAACTACACTCCCCCTCCCCTATGGTTAGGGAGACTTTTATTTGGGAGAAGCCTCCTGAAGACAGTGAAGCATGTGTAGCAGCAAAAAGGAATACAAACTAGGAACTTAGCTTGATTTACATAAACTGAAATAAAATGAGACTGGAACATTTTTAGCTCAGGGGTCTCAAACATGCAGCCCGGAGGCCATTTGCCCGACCAGATGATAGTTTGTGGCTCCCGACTTGACTGCCCCAGGCTGCAGTTCCGGATGGAGGGTGCAAGAGGCGCTGCAAGAGCTGGTGAGAGAGGCGCGTTGCTGGCCCTTTTCCCCGAGCCCCTGAGCCACCGCCGAGCAATGCCTGAGAACGGAGCTCGCTCCCGGCCCGTCTTCGAAGAACGCCTCCAACAGCGCCACCAAAAGCAGCTGGCACCACTGCTGCTTGGCAGGCTGCAGTTCTGGATGGAGGGTGCAAGAGGCTCTGCAAGAGCTGGTGAGCGAGGCGCGTTGCTGGCCCTTTTCCCCGAGCCCCTGCCGAGCAATGCCTGAGAACGGAGCTCGCTCCCGGCTCCTCTTCGAAGAGCGCCTCCAAGCCGCCAACAGCAGCTGGCACCACTGCCTCGCTTCTTCCAGGGAAGCGGCTCTCTGGCTCTATTTCTCTCTCGGCACCCACAGCACTAGCCTACCAGTGGCTGCCTCAGCGCCCGGCGGTGCTTTCTCCTCCTCCTCCTCGTCCTGATTCAGCTACCTCGGCTCTGGAGGCTGCCTGGGGTAGCCTCGGAAAGTTTGCTCCTCTGTCATGGTGGGGGTAGCTGCTGTTGCTGAGTGCGCTTTTTTGAGGGGGGGCCCCACGTAGCCTGGCCAGTGGCTGCCTCAGCGCCCGGTGGTGCTTCCTCCTCCTCCTCTTCGTCCTGATTCAGCTACCTCAGCTTTGCAAAGTTTGCTCCTCTGTCATGGTGGGGGTAGCTGCTGCTGCTCAGTGCAGCTTTTTGAGGGGGGCCCTCGGAGGAAGGTTGCCGGACCTCCGTGTGTTTGTGTGCGTGCATGGGCGTGTGCCCTGTGGGGCCCCCGGTCCATTCTATTTAATTTCGTGGGTACCAGTGGGGGCTTTTCTCCTTTGGCAAGGAGAATTCTGTGAGGGTTTTTTAAATTTTATGTCATGCCCTCCTCACCATCCCACTAGGCGGTCGCCAGCGCTCCCTCCCTTCTCCGCTTCTTCGTCCTGCCCTTGCTACTGCTGGTGGTAGTGAAGGAGGAGCTGGAGGGGATCATGGCCGGCGATGAAGGCTCGTGCGCCCCTCCTCCTCCTTCTCCTAGCCCCAGCCAGGTTAAGGAAACTCCCTATGAATATAATACATGGCAGGTCCCATGGCTTGGAAAGAAACTATGTAAGGTACACATCATGAACGTGAAAGCACAGTAATTTAATTGTATAGCAATCTGCAGAAATAACTGTGTATGGTATGCAAAATCATACACAGAATCAAATTACTGGCTTCCAGCCAAATCTTGCGCTTTCACACTTTGATTCATGTAGATTTTGTCAGAATCTGTAAACTAAAAAGCTCAAACAAGAGCTTAAAACCCCCTTTTGGGGTGTTCTTTACAGTGGGCTATTTCTTTGGCTTGTACATATAGTGCAGAGGCCATAGGTCCAAAAAACAAACAAAAAAACCAGCAGCTCTTTTTATCCTTATCCCCACCCAACCTCCCAAAATACAAAGTTAAAAAAACAAACCACTAAATGATGATGACGGATCATTTCACTCAAAACATGAGTTTTCTCACTATACTTCTATACTATACTACTTACCGGTTTTAGTTACTGGTTCATAATTGTTTTAGGTAGGGAGATGGTTTTTTTGGGGAAGGGAGGGAGCCAGTCAAGGTTGAGGGGTGGATGGATGTGGTTTGTTAAGAAAGGTGCACCATTTGCACCATGGTCCCTGGTAAATCTGGCACTGAAAAAAAACACCTGTGTGGTGCCCCCTTCCCTTGTTGATGCCCTAAGCACATGCTTATTTTGTTTAATGGTTAATCTGGGACTGACAACTGCATAAATCTGCATCAAATGGAGCAAACACAATCCAGTGGCACCAATGCTACCATCACACATTAAGTTCAGTAACACCAAAATGATTCCAACTTATAAAAAAATCTTTCCAAAGTACAGTGGGGTCTTGACTTGAGAACTTAATCCGTATTGGAAGGCGGTTCTCAAGTCAAAATGTTCTCAAGTCAAATCTGCATTTCCCATAGGAATGCATTGAAAACCCTTTGATCCGTATCTGCTCTTTTCCGTCCATAGAAACTAATGGGAAGCTGCTATTCTGCCTTCGACCACTAGAGGGGGATATTTTGTTTCTTTTTTTTCTTAGGTCAAGAAAGGTTCAGGGAAGGCAGGGAAAATACAGTCCAGGCAGTACCAGGCAGTCCAAAGACTGTCTCCCAATCCACTCTCTAAACGCTGGGAGGAGTGAGGAAGCCGACAGGCACCCTTTTCACTGGCCAACAGTTAACTGAAAGTTCACATTTTGCACTTTCCCTGCCTCCCACGTGGCCTTTTTTCAGTTCTTAACTCAAATCTAAGTACTTAAGTCAAGTCAATATTTTCCTATGAGAGCGGTTCGTAAGTCAAAATGTTCTTAACTCAAGCCATTCTTAAGTCAAGATCCCACTGTATGTAGTTGTAAAGCAGCCAGAAGTGCTTACCAGTACCTGCTACCGGATAGCACTATAGGGCCACGCAGCTTGCTCAAAGCCACCATGGTGTCAGGGAATGTAGCCCCATCAGCCACACATGTCCTGGGTGATCTTGGCCAGGCTGTCTCTCAGGAAGCACAATCAAATGCCAGACTTCTAGCTCCCCAAGCAGTCCAACCGTTTGAGCTGTACCAGCTTAAACACTAATAAAACTTATTAGGAGAAATGCAGCATATAAATCATCATCATCATCATCATCATCATCATCATCTTGACCAGGTGACGTGGTTCCTGTGAATTTAACAGGGGCATGGAAGACAAAATCCCAGTAGGTGTAGCTTGCCTTAAAAGTTGCTTCTGCTAAAATTGATCTTCTAAGCAACTATCGGAACATAGCAGAATAAAAGGGTGTTGGAAAAAATTGGCCTAGGAGGACAGAAATGAATTGGGAGAATTACTTAAGAGTTCTGTAAAGGCTGCAATCTGTTTATTGCACATGTGTGTTTCAATCAACTGAACAGATGGGTGTACACATGGATATCACCAGATGGTCAGTACAGAAATCAAATACAGTAGACTGGAAGCAGGAGATGGAGAACCTGTATTCTTTCTGCCTAAACAAGACCAGGAGCAGACGATGGTACTGATAATGAACTGCTAATATCCTACGTTAAAGCAGAAAAAGAACACTAGAAGAATTGTAGTGCCAAAATAAAATGTAAATAACATTTCTGATGAATTGGAAGTCTAGCTGGGATGTAACTAAGGCATGCGTCACCATGGACAGATATGCTCTCTCCTAGAAAAGGAACATCTGATGCACTTTTAGCTGTGCAAATGAACTCCTGGCCATTGCCAAAACCTGGCCATCCAGACTCGGAGGCGAATGCAGGGAGTACCCTCCGGCTGCCCAACTGGGGTTTCATAAATCTCCACACCACGTTACTATATAAAAGACTGTCTACTGAAGAGACACTGCTGTCATCTGAAGTAGTCCACTCAAGCGTTATGCTAAATAAACGTGTTTTATACAGAGGTCTTCGTTAGTTTTGTTGCAACAGAGTGACACAGGTAACCGTCCTGGAAAATTAAGTCTCTGTGGAAATTACTTCTCCTACTCAGAGGAACGTAAAGCAACTACGTTACTGTAGAGCCGAAGGGAGTGGAACTTTTTTTTCCAAGAGCTCTTCAGCGATTGGATAACAGGAGCCAGGAGGCGGGGTTCTCCAACACCCGCTTTTATTTTTTTTATTTGCTCCACGGAGGGCGGGGCGAAGAGCCGTTGGGCGCGTCTTATAGTTTTCGGGCGGAGCTAAGGCGTGCTCCTCACGGATTGATTGGTTATTTTTTTCCGAGGGAGGGCGGGACAAACTCGTGGCGCTGCCGAAGGATTGGCCGTTCGGAGGAGCAAGGCCGTTGCCAGGGAGAGAGAGGAGAGCAAGCGGTTGCTAGGGACGCCGCGGCCTGGAGCCGAGGGGGAAGGATGGCGGGCATTGAGGGCGATGACGCCAGCGCCGCTTTGGATCACATCGTGACGCAGTTCAACACCTACGAGGACTACCTGGACTCGCAGATCACCACGCAGGATCTGTTTTACTTGGAGGTGAGTTCGGGGTGTCACGTCCGTTCAAAGAAAGCGTGCCTCTGAGCATGTGCAGCGTTTCTCTCCTTCGCTCATCACTGGAAGGACAACAGCCCTCCCGCCCGAGTAGCAAGAGATCTATCCGCTTTCCTCCTCGGTTCATTGCAAGTTGCAAGCTCTGTTCGGGGTGTCACGTCCGTTCAAAGAAAGCGTGCCTCTGAGCATGTGCAGCGTTTCTCTCCTTCGCTCATCACTGGAAGAACAGCAGCCCTCCCGTCCGAGTAGCAAGACATCTATCCGCTTTCCTCCTCGGTTCATCGCAGTTGCAAGCTCCCAATAAAGCAAGGAGTAGATCCTGAAAGGAAGTTGGGGGCGGACACACATAAAAATACTGCTTTTTTCTTTCTCATTATTTGACATTGTTCGTGCACGTTTTAATTTTATTTTAATAAAAGGCTCTGCTGCAAAATTTGCACCTTTAGGGTGACCAGATGAAAAGAGGATAAAATACTTCTAAGACAAAATCCAAAGTAACAAACCACATAAAAATACTGCTTTTTTCTTTCTCATTATTTGACATTGTTCGTGCACGTTTTAATTTTTTTTTTTTAAGGGCACTGCTGCAAAATCTGCACCTTTAGGATGACTAGGATAAAATACTTCTAAGACAAAATCCAAAGTAACAAACCACCAAAGACAAAAACACGTGGCACTTTAAAGACTATTATAGTTTAATGTAAGCTTTCGTGGACACGCCCATGAAAAAGGTTACATTAAATTATAACAGTTAGTCTTTAAGGTGCCACGTGTCGAGTAACAAAGGTTAAGAACCACTGCATTAAACTATAACAGTTAGTCTTTAAGGTGCCATACGTTTTTGTATTTTGTTTCTTTGGATTTTGCCTGACATGCTTGCACAGACGAACACCACGACCTCTTCTTAAACCATGTTTTTAAGAGTTGCTTAGCAGAGGCAGTTTCTGTGCTAGTGGCTTTTAATGCAACCAACCACTCTTGCAGTGGCCTCCTCCAGAGTTATAACAGATACAGGAACTCTGTCCTGTAGGAGCCTTACTTCTGAGGAAGGAAGATGCTGCATGCCAGTGTGGCTTGTTTCTGAGTAGACATGCACAAAAATGTGTGTTGGATTAGGACTGATCACCACTCAACCATGAAGTTCTCTGGAGGGTTTCTCCAGAGGGTCATTTTGAGGTTGAAAATAATGAGGACCACCAATGTCTATGGCCAATTTAGAGGAAATGTACCTGATAAATACATTTTTCACTGTTTAGGAAGCAGTGGTGTGGTGGAGGAGGGACAGAGTGGAGCAAAACTATTCCTTGCCTGAAATGCCAAAATATCTTCAGGTAACCCTGATTCTTGCAAAAGGTTGACTGATGGATCACAACTGAGATGCAGCTGTGGCAGAGGCAGTACTGCACAACTGAGATGCAGCTGTGGCAGAGGCACTAGATGCAAACTACTTTCGAGTACTGTATTCTCTACCTGGAAAACGCTGGAAAGGTTTGCCATAAATCAGAATTTACTTGACAATGGGCACATGATGATGACATTCACTCTCCCACACAACTATTAATGGCACAAGAGACATGTCCTCTCTTGCACGTGGCCAATATTATCTATAACCCACTGCTGTGAATAGAGATACTGTACCTGTTTTAGGGCTTGGGGATGATGACAGGTCTTGATGACATCTCCCAGAAAGCATGGCCATTGGCCATGAAGACAGAGAAGTCGACAAGTTTTCACTCCAAAAATTAACTTCTCTACTTCAGATTGCTTTGTGAACTTGAGTTCCCTCACTTCTTTGGCTCTTTTTGAATTCCACACTCCAGAAAGGACTGAGATTTTTAGCACCTCAGAACAGCTGCCCAGAAACAGCTTTCATCAGGTGCGGCATCTCCCACCTTAGTGTGGAAAATGCACAACTAGCAGAATTTTCCTTCCTAAATGACTCTTAAAGATGCAGGAGTCCCTCTGGGTGAATAATTTGTTAAACTATGTCCATTTGTTTCCTTGGCCCAAGATATATATTCTCTGGACATAGTTTGGCAAATTCAGTATATATTGACTTTTCCGTAACTGTTGAAACTCTTTTGATGTTTTGTTCTTTTCATTTTTCACTACCTTGAATAAAATAAAATTTGTTTACACTTGTTTGTCTCTTTTGAGTTAAGAGGGTTGGTGGTACTAAAACCAGACTTGTCTCAACCATCTGCTGCAAGCCTGTGTGGTTTTTTGGGGATATTTTTGGTGTTCCTACCTTGGCATAAGAGTCATAGCATTGAATCTTGTGGATTTTTGGTAACTCCTTGGAAGTACTGCTTGGTCCAAGTACCTGCCTGATACTTTGGGAAGGTACCAGGCAGGAATGTTTTCTGTAGTCCTTTGGCCCTCCTGGATTTTACCCACAACAGGACAATCAGGACAGTGTAACTGAGTGGTTAGTTTGGGCTTCTCTGACCTGGGGGTAACCTTGACATTTGGCACTCGTTATGTAAAATGAGGATGAGGAGATAGCAGTCTCTTATTAGCACCAGTAGAGTGTGAAGATTAAGCAACATTATTCAAGGAAAAAAGCTGATATTTGAAATGGTCCTAATATAGCTTTAACCTGCCGGTCTTAATAGTCCCTTGCCCTCTAACATGATATCACGTTCTGGTGTCTGGTCTCCATTCATCTCTTTCTGTTTCTTCACCCCCTTTTAGATGGCTTCTTTTCTTTCTGATTTGGCATGTCAAGGCTTATGTGCCTGGACAATGACAATCCAAAGGCAAGCATGCAGTGCAGGAGTTTCCAAGAAATATTTTCAGAGATTGTTAAGAAAGTAAAGGCAGCTTGAGACTAGGATGAGACAAGATGAGTCATAAGGCGGACAAGACAACTGACAAGCAAAATGAGATGTGAGGATATAGATGGTTTAGGATTAGAATTATATTAAATATAATTAGCTGCTTCAGTGGAGCAATGAATTAAGAACTCACTGAAAAAAAATAATCTGCATGTGTTGTTTTTTTTTTGTAAAGAGGAATGTTGAACTCTGCTGTTGAGATTGAAAAACGGGATATTTTGAAGTGTAACAGTGGGGAAGCAAATGCAGTACTTGAGGATTCAAGATTTTCCGGCCCAACAAGCAAATCTTCTGCTGTAGTAATGATATAAAAAGGAAGGGGAATTGAGCTAGTTACAAAAGAAAAGTAATTTCTGGCACATGCCTTTGAGACAGAAGGCGAGAGGGATGGCCCATTCACTGGAGAGCTGTCCCTCCCCCACAACAAGAATAAGGAGAAGGGTCCCCAGCCAGCACCAGGACCTGCGGCAGAAGCTCAGCAAGGGACAGAAATAGGGGAGTTGACGGAGAACTTGCAGGATGTGACCATGAGAGAGGTCCAGGAGGAAAAGGCATGAGAAGAGAGGAAGAAGAGGGTGAAGTTTGAGGCAGGAACAGGGGAGGTAAAAAGGAAGGAGAGTCAATTGCTGCCAGGCTGGGAATGGGTGTGGATGGGGGACCCCTGGACAAGGATGCTGAGATTGGAGACCCCTTCCAGACCTGTTGGCAGAAGGAAAAAAGACTCTTAATCATGTCACAGATACTTGTTTATTGTTAAATGCACCAATAAATCTTTCACCTGTTTTGAAGCAACAAAAATCTACTGATTTCTTTGGACTGAAAGAGGAACCAAAATTCAAACCCTCGTCGTCGTCGTTTAGTCGTTTAGTCGTGTCCGACTCTTCGTGACCCCATGGACCAGAGCACACCAGGCCCTCCTATCTTCCACTGCCTCCCGGAGTTGTGTCAAATTCATGTTGGTTACTTCGTAGACACTGTGCAGCCATCTCATCCTCGGTCGTCCCCTTCTCCTCTTGCCGTCACACTTTCCTAACATCAAGTTTTTTTCCAAGGAGTCTTTTCTTCTCATGAGATGGCCAAAGTACTGGAGCCTCAGCTTCAGGATCTGTCCTTCCAGTGAGCACTCAGGGTTGATTTGCTTTAGAACTGATAGGTTTGTTCTCCTTGCAGTCCAGGGGATTCTCAAGAGCCTCCTCCAGCAACACAAGCTTTTCATTCTATCCTACCTATTTTCTGTCATAAGAGAACCTCTAATAGTCTTTTATCTATTTTCAGTAATTGTACTAGTATAGCTGTGCTGCAGTGCTTCAGGAAAGGGGATGCTTGGACTTTCCATCCCCTGTGTTGCTGCTGTATGGAGTCTGCAAGAGTGTGGTTTGAACGTGGAAGAGTTGGACAGCGAACCAACTTTAGCAAATATAAAAGCGCCCTTGGATTCCCTCACCTCTTGCAAGTTACCTCAGAAGGATAATAATAATAATAATAATAATTTATTGTCATTGTAAGTGTATACACATACAACGAAATTCACAGACACCCAGAGACCAGACACATGCACACACATAAAATTCCCAAACACTCCCCACCCACTAAAAGTCCCCCACTAAAAATACAAACATCTACACCGCAGGCCAAGTTACACAGTCCAACTAATTATTCACTACTGGTGGTCTTTAAGCTCATTATTAATTGCAATTATAGCTCTGGGATAAAAACTATTGAGAAAACGTGTGGTCCGAGTCTTAATTGTTCTGTATCTTCTGCCAGATGGTAACAGTTCAAAAAAGTTATAAGCAGGATGGGAAGAGTCTCTCAGGATGCTATGTGATTTCCTTAGACAGCGGGATGTGAAGATGTCATCCAGGGTTGTAGCTGGAGCCCGATGATATTCTGGGCAATTTTAATGGTTCTCTGTAGAGCTTTTTTGTCCGCTACAGAGCTACTCCCAAACCATGCCAGAATGCCATAGGTTAGGACACTCTCAATGGTGCTACGATAGTATGACAGAAGCAAATGCTGAGATAAATTTAACTTGCCGAGCATTCTCAGGAAATACAGCCTCTTTTGTGCCTTCTTCATTAGCATGTTGGCATTTATAGTCCATGAGAGGTCCTCTGAGATGTAAGTACCCAGAAATTTAAAACTACCAACTCTCTCCACTTCCTCACCGTTTATGTACAGTGGTAAATGTACATTTCTGTTCCTCCTAAAATCAATTATGAGTTCTTTAGTTTTTTTGATGTTAAGTGTGAGATGATTTTCTTTACACCAAAGTATCAACCTTTGTACTTCCTTTCTATAAGCAGACTCATTGTTCTTATTTATGAGCCCCACCACTGTCGTATCATCCGCAAATTTAATAATTGCATTGGTGTTATACAGTGGGGTGCAATCATGTGTGTACAGGGAATAGAGGAAGGGACTTAGCACACAGCCCTGGGGAGCTCCTGTTCTTAGTACCAGGGTAGAAGAATGGTGAGATCCCATCCTTACTGACTGTGGCCTATCTGTCAGAAAATCCTTTATCCACATGCAGATCTCCTGAGGTAATCCCAGGTTGATCATTTTAAAAAACAACCTATTTGGTAGAATGGTATTAAAAGCAGAGCTATAATCCACAAACAACAGCCTCGCATAAGTTCCCTGATGTTCTAAGTGGCTCAGTACAGTATGGAGTACAATGGACACAGCATCATCAGTAGATCTATTTTTCCTGTATGCAAATTGCCATGGGTCCAAAGAAGGTGGAAGACTTGCCTTAATGTAATCCAGCACCAGTCTCTCAAAATATTTCATAACAACAGGTGTTAAAGCTACTGGTCTATAATCATTGAGAGATACCACAGCTGACTGCTTGGGGACTGGCACTACAATAGATGTCTTCAGGCAAGTGGGGACTGAACACTGCAACAAGGATAGATTGAAAATATCCGTAAAAACTCCAGCTAATTCTGCAGCACAGCCCCTAATAACTCGTCCCATGATTATGGGTTCAGTGCCTTTGAGTTAATCTGGGCTGTTGTTTTTCAATGTAGCCACTAGGTGGAAATATTTCACTTTTGGTTAAATTACATCCTGCATTTAATAAACATGCACAATACAGAAGGGAACACTGCAGAAGTAGGTGCTTGATCATTCTGGCCCTGAAATAGCACACTCTTTCTTGCTTGGTAATCCTCAGCCTGCATAGTGTTTGGAAAACCTCTGCCTCACACCTTTGCTGTCTTATTGCTGCTGCTACGAGTATTAGTACTGCTGTGTATCTCCCTACTTGACGCTTTGTGGAATTACAGACACAAAAGACATCCTGCTTTGAGGATACTGCTATTTAAATTCTGTAAAAGCTGGCATCCCACTTTTGCCTACTTTGTTCTCTTCTGACCATGCATATGGGGAACAAAACTGAGGATGATGCTAGCTACCATGACAAAGAGAACTCTAGGACCAGTGACATACCTTTGGGGACATGAGTTAAGGCACCCTACAATAAAAACTGCCTAACATCAAAACACTTCAATTTAACAATATTATAAAGTAAGCTTCTATTGGTCAAAATCCTGCTACAGTATTTAGCAAAATAAATTGCACTAGCATAGGATTATTGAATCAATGGGGATTTGATGACTCAACTCCCCTAACTTGCTGTTAAGCGTTGGCCCATTTGAATCAATAGAACTTATGGAGGATTTAACTCATCACCATTGATTCAATTGGCTTGTCTAATGCACTTTACTCTGCTGATCAACAGGATTTGCGGCATTTTCTATACAGTACATTTGTTCCTGCCTGAAACGTTGCCCAGAATACTGTTTTTCCCCTGATCTACCTGATCTGCCATTTGGTCCTTTAGAATGAAGATATGGCCCGCCAGCTGGTGGAACTTGGTTTTCGGGGCAGCGGAGAAGTTCTGAAGAGGGAAGACTTTATAGCAAGAAAAGCAGCAGCAGAGGCTTCCAGGCTGTCAGAAAGACATCAGCAAAAGTGAGTGCTCTCTCTCTGTCTCTGTGAAAGAGCAAGCTAATCAATGACCTTACACCAAAAGGATGATTTTATGATGCTTTTTAAAAGCGTATGCATTGGAACCAGATAAAATCAGAGCTCCTCCCATAATTTCCTATGTGGAGATGGAGTAAAAATGACCTCTCCTGAGAGTAGGCTTTGTGTTGTATCTGTGTATGATGTGCTGCTCCAAAAGTGTCTCTTTTTTTCAAGATGATTCTTCTTTTCAATAAGATCAGTGTTTACAAAGGAAACCTCTTCTAGAGGCATTGTGCAATCTAATCATCAATTTGGGGCAGTGAAAGAGAGAAATGCACCTCTTAATTTATTTGAGAAAAATAGGGTGCCATGGATCTCAGCTATTTTAGGGAAAAAAATAGTTTTGGTCCTGAAAGAACTCAGTTGGTTCTAATGATTTCTTAAAAAGTTGTTTTGGGGAAACATGCCTGTGGATAAAAACCTACAAGAATATTGTGCTAAATACTTGCCACATAGTATAGCGAGTTTCGTGTGGCAAGACCTCCCTGTTACTTGCTGTCTGGTACTGTATGCCTAAACCACTGTTTGCAACTTCCTGGGATCAACCATGATCACCTTAACAGTATCTCCCAGTTGCCTATATGGATTGCATCCCTGTAGATTTTTTTAACAGTTGTATAGAAGAGGGAATTTCAGCAGATGTAACTTTTTGTGCTAAGGAAGGAACTCTGATTCTGCCAGAATTCTTAAAGATGTTTTCCTTGGTGCCTGAGCAGTGGGCCATTGGTTGAATTTGGTTCCTCCCTACGCTCACATTGTATAACAGGTCCAGCTAGCAGGTCCACCAATAGCCTTCTGTATTTATTTCTGAGATGTCCTGCCCTTCTTCCAGCTAGGTGTCTGCAAATTTATATTTCTTAGGTCTGTGTAAAAGGATTTGGCCAGCATCTCCCCCTCCAGGAGGTGTTCTTCTCCTCCTTCTTTCATTAGGTCTGTGTAAAAGGATTTGGCCAGCACCTCCCCCTCCAGGAGGTGTTCTTTTCCTCCTTTCGAGTTTCCTTTGCTTGGACAGCTGTCAAGCATATGCTCTCACATTAGCTGTCAAATTCAAAGTGAAGCATATGCCAGAGCAAAACATTTTCATTTCTTCTAGTCCATATCTCTGTATAAATTGCTCATTCACCTCTGCCTTTTATATGCTTTTTGGAAGATCAGAGGAGGAAATGCTTGATATTATGATGGCTAAAGGGTTGTTCTTAAATTTGAACTAACAATTTAAAGAACATATAAAATGTTAGAATTGTTTTTTTAATGGAATTTGCATGTACTGTATCTGGCAGTTCCTATATGTCAGCTGCTAATGTTGAATTCCATGCTTTGTTGTTTAAGAACATGAATTTACTTCATCACAGCGGGAACCTCAAATATGATTGGTTAAGATATCCCACTTTTCAGTCAGGAATAATTAAGGAGCCTTGATATATGAAATAAGTTAGTATAAACTAAAGCACTTGGTTATTTCTCTAATACTGTAGAGTATCTAATACTGTGTGTATACTGTATATATATATAACCACCCAGAGTAGTGACACACACACACACATAGAGAGAGAGAGAGAGAGAGATAGATATCACTACTGAGCGAATGCTCCAGCGATGGCCCGGACCCCCTCGCTATGCGAATTCATCGCATAGCGAAGCACTCGCTAAGCGAGGCACCACTGTATATAAAACCACCCAGAGTGGTGACACACACACACACACACACACACAGAGAGAGAGATATCACTACTCTGGGTAGTTTTATCCTACTACAGGATGTCTGAATCATTTAGTCTCTTGATCGATTTTGTTGTTGTAACAATAATTTAACAACATTCCTAACATGAAAAATTCCTGACAACCTTGGTTGCTAGATTCTGTAACCGGAGATTCTGTATTGTATACCTTTATGAGGTATAAAGACCTGTTAATGGATGGTCTAGTAAAGATCAGTCTGATGGTTTAGTAAAGATCAAATCTACATTTGATCTATCCCATTATTTTGCAGAGGTCCTCCCCTAAATAAGAAAAAAGTTTGCCTATCTTAGAGTGTGATTTTCTTTACCTACATATCTTGCAGTTTAGCGTGCTTTGTTTTGAGAGTGGCCATTGGAAGTTAAACCTGAGCTTGATTACAAGTCTAAAATTACTAAGGCATGTATCTCTGAGGAAATCCTGTTTGGGGAGGAAGAAGGGGTTGTTTGTCTGGAGCTTGTAATTCCCTATCACACTGGGTTTGGCCCCAAACATGAGATTTTGTGGTGATAGCATCCTTTCTAAGTAATGGGAGAAACTGCTTTCATATGGGGCAAGAAAGCTGTGACCAAAACTTGGAGGATGTCCTCACACAAGGGCCCAAGATTAGGAAAGCATATCCACTGCATATGAATTTTATAAAAAAAAATCTAAAATAAGCCCATTAAGCTTTGGTTGCAGGTCAATATTTGAAAATAAAGCAGAAGGACCAAAATCCTGTTGTGTTTTTCTGCACAGGCTATGTGTTCCCAGAAGCCATGGTGGCTAATTGAAGCTAATTAAGTGCTGCTTGCATGCCTGCCTATGTCCCAGTTCTGTACTTGGCAAGTACCTGGCATGCACCCAGCTTCTTGTTGATTAGCTTCAGTTAGCTTCTGTGATTTCCATTGTTGCACAGCCTGTATCTGGGAGAAGAAAAAAGGATTTTGGTCAAGAGCGTTTCCTTTCTGTCACACAAACATGAGGCGATTTTCCTGGCGTGCTCCTAGTTATCCTAATCCCTCTATAATGTTTTATCCCACTTTTATTGGAAAAAAGCAACAAATAAATGTTTAGGGATTTTAATCTAGTTTTTGTTTATTGAAATAGTTCAATGTCAGCATTATAACACTGCACTCTATCCGTTCTTGTGGTGAGCTTAAGGTTTAGCAAGATTTTCTAACAATAACCTATAGCATATTTGGCAAGGCTTAGATTTATTACCTTGAATAACTATGAAATGCAAATGTGTTCAAACTAGTAGCAGACTGCTGCAATCAGGAAAGAATCTCGCTTTTCCCTTTAGAGACCTAAGATGGTCTTCTTTTCCTCTCTCAAGAAGTGGTTTTGATTATTGGGTTGTCAGTTAAAAAGCCTTTGCTTGAAGAGGTCGGTGGGTTGTGTCCTACTTGTTTTAATGTATTTTCACAAGGATGGAAATTCTGCTGGGCAGGGCTAGATGGCTTCTTTCAGAAAGCCAGTATTTTGCACTCAGTCCTTTTAGCATTGCTTTGATGCACATGGTGCTACTCAGGGGCTGAAAGAGGAATGGAGACCTGAAGCTACAGGAATTCAAAGAATAGCACACAAAAAGAACAAAGGTGAATGGTGGAAACAGGTGGGCCTTGGTGTGGGGTAAAGGCTCAGCGTGGAGCATTTTTGTGTGACAGAAGTTAATCAGAACACTTTTTTTTTTTTAAAAAAAGAGTTGGTATTAAAAATACAAATATAAAAACACTGGGGAGCTGTGGCTGGTTCTTCCTGTCACAGGACTGGTGAATCAGTAGCTTGTGTCAACATCCTTGCATCTTTCTACATGCCTGGAGAACACCTGGATATTTGTGTTGTAGTGTTCGGAAACCATGACTCTCTGTGCCCTTGCCAAGAAGACTTGCGTAGGAAGGCTTGTTTCTAAAGGTGAAGATGTGTGGACAACCTTTTCTCATTCAGCTAATGACTGATCCTGTGCCAATGTATTGCCCGGTAGAGGATTTTTTTCCAAAGCTACTGATCTGAGTTTATTTCTGTGTGAGAGGTTAGGAAACAGGACATCTGAGTTAACATAGTGTGTGTGTGTGTGTTAAAGGTAAAGGTTCCCCTTGACAATTTTTGTCCAGTTGTGTTCGACTCTAGGGGGCGGTGCTCATCCCCGTTTCCAAGCCATAGAGCCAGCGTTTTGTCCGAAGACAATCTTCCGTGGTCACATGGCCAGTGTGACTTAGACACGGAACGCTGTTACCTTCCCGCCGAGGTGGTCCCTATTGATCTACTTGCATTTGCATGCTTTCGAACCGCTAGGCTGGCGGGAGCTGGGACAAGTGACGGGCACTCACTCTGTCACTTGGTCTTCTGACCCTGCAGCACAGGCTTCTGCGGTTTAGCCCACAGCGCCACCACGTCCCTCTCGTGTATGTGTGTTACTTCATTACAAAAAGTTAAGCATGGGCAATTTTTACTTGAACCCATGTGTCAGGAATATGAAGATTTGTTCATCTGGATTTTTTGAGCACTGGGAAACTTTTTAGTGTTGCGTTATGCGCTGCTCTGAATCATTAGTTCTTCTAGTTATAACTATAGATTGAAAGATGGTTCACTATCTTATATGTTGCATGGTGGAAAAGCAACATTTTGCCAGTTCACAGTCCTCACTTGTTACATATGCCCATAAAAGTTTAATATTGATAAGTGCTTTTAGCCAAGTGTTTGACGGAGGTAGACATGTTTGGAAGCAGGAATTGGCCGTGGCTCTCTGTCATGTGTACACAAAACATGTGGGGATATGCCTTTCCCCTAATGTTCATTGCATTGGGGGCGGTGGTAGCAAATGTTATTGATCTTAGTGTTCTTTTTCCTTGCTTGTGTCAGAAGCAATCCAGTGGTGCTTCTGGAGTGGAAGGATCTTGCTACTGCCGCATTGCACATCATTTTCACTCTGAACACTTATTTAGGGTGTAATAGTCCTTGCTGAGCTCAAATGTATGCTTAGATTAAAGACACAAATATAATAAGAAAGGAACTGGATACATCTTTATATTAAGTCAAAGTTAAATATTTGAGTTTCATCATCCATATGAAGTGTGTTTGAATACAGCCTCCAAAAAGGAAACATGATAGGAGTAGCAAAGGATGTGTCTTTTCCAAACATTGCTTTTGGTTTTGGCATCACAAATGCACCCAGTGAAATACAATTGAAGGATTAAGCGCTGAGATCCATCATTTATTATTAT